AGCAGTCAAAGACGTCATGTTGACTGACGATATTAGTTTAGTCTAATAGCTTAACGTGTCTGCATGCCACGTAGGCTTTCTCTCCCAGTCACGTCAACTCCACTGGCGAGTCCTACAGTGTCTCGCCGTGCATTCTGACGTGATCCAATCAGCCCTACACCTGCCATATATTGTGACGTGAATGGCAGCCAACGTTGTCGGTGCCCCACGAGGATAGCGTGACGGCACATGGCTGTCGGTGCCCCACGAGGATAGCGTGGGGTAGTGTCCCGTAAGAAGTACATACACAACTAATCTCGTTACCGACACTTACTGGAATACTTGACTTGGTTAAATATAGAATCTTCCGATGTTGCTCAATATGTGACAATTTGGTTAGTGTCTGGTGTTTCTATTTTTGTATCAGATATTGACTGACCGCTTCTTCATCCATATTTTATTTTCCATCACTTGCAATGTGTATTTAAACATATGTTGTTTATTTACTTATTTTGAATTTCAACTATCCTCTAATTTTTTGTGTTTTATTTGCATAAAAACACAATACTACAATGGAACAATTTCGTTCATTTGAATATTATAATGGTTCTAAAATTAACAGTGTAGGCGGTTTGAGCTTCGAAGGAAAAAAGAGAGCCATGTATATTGTCTGAGGGTTTTCCATTGAAGATCTACTTGAGAAGATTCGTCAGAAGTTGAAGTTGCAACAAAATCAGGTAATATCTTCAGTTACGGATAGAGTCCCATGTGGAAATCGCAAATATGCAAGTTTTGAAATAAATGATGATGAGGACATTAACATTTTTCTTGGAACATTTGTCCAAACTCTACTACATCTCAATTTGTTGAGTTATACGTGAATATTGAGACATCAAAGGATTTGTCAACACCAATACGTGGGCTGGACCATAACAGTCAGACACAAAATCCATCGTCATCGGTACCCCAGCCCACACAATCAACTATTGCACATGGAGAAGAAAGCGACTATATGGTAGATGTTGAACCTGAAAATGAAGAGGAAGAGGAAGACGAAGACGAAGACGCTATTGGCAAATGACCATGATCAAAATGATATTGATCCACGTGATGATGAACATGATGAGAATCCCATATCACACGAGACTGTTATCCCTATGTTCAATATTGCGGTTGTTCCACCATCATCAGGTTAGTCAGTAAATGGGTTGTATTAATTATTTTACAAAATCATTTTTTATGCCTACGATTTCATAAAATTGTATTATTAATAAATTATTTTTTATAAAGGATTTAATAACATGATTAATATTCAACTAAATCAATAAATTATAATGACTATTTAATTAGTTAATTAATAATTAATAACTTAACTTAATATGTCAAATTGTTAGGGTTTTATTTATTAACATGAAATCTGTAATTATATAATAATTAAAACAATTATTACAATTTTAATAATTACTAATTATAATTATTATAAATATATTAAATCAAAATTACTATTTAAGATTAATGTTTATAATTTTCAATATTAATTACTTATTTTTCTAGCAGGGTTTTTATGGCATTGTAAATTAAAATATGATTACAATTAATTAAAACACTAATAGGTTTTAGAAAAAGTTTTCTATGCCTAAGGTTTCCAAAAATATTTTTATTATTTAATTATTTGAAAAGTGATTTAATAACATCATTAATATTTAATTATGACACTAATGATTACTAAATTAACTTAATAGGTTTTTTCATAGTGTGTTATTTATTATGATTAAATCATTAATTACAAAATAATTAAAATAGTTATTACCGTTTTAATAATTACCACTTATAAAAACCGTAAATTACTAACATGATTAATGTTTAATTATAACACTAATAGTAATTACTATTTAATTATTTAATTAATAATTATTTATTTAACTTAATAGGTTTTTTCTTAGGTTCTTATTTATTATGAGAAGATTTGTTAATTACAAAATAATTAAATCAGTGATTAGCATTTTAATATTTACCACTTCTAAAAATCATAAATATATTAAAACAAATTTACTAATTATTAAATATGCTTAATGTTATTAATGAATCTACTAATTACAATTATTTGGATTTTTTTAAACACCTTGTCTACTACATTCACTAATTACAATACACATGCAATGACATTCACTAATTACAAAACACATGCAAAGAAAATGAATAATGCAACAACATACATGTAGTGGGTGACTAAAAATTATCGAGATAGGTAAAAAATGCAACACCACACCAGATAAACAACAAAGTAACCCTAAAAAAAAATACCCAACACAAACAAAATTAAGGTTACAAAAAAAGACAAGTACTAGGTAAATTAAAACAACACCATACCCGTGTGGGTGACTAAACGGAGAGGTGGAAAGATGGGAATATGAACTATTTGTTCCGGTGGGTGACAAAATTAGCCCCAAATGTATGGTATGGTGTGGGGTGCTCCGGCGTTGGGTGACTGCAGAGGTGCAAACAGACTGGAGAAGGAAAGTTGGCCACGCGAAAAATTTGCTTGACACACCGGAGAGCTGAGAAACGAACACAAGAGAGGAGAAGGGAAGAAGAAGGAACGTGAAGGAGAAGGAGACAGAAGTCAGAAATGAGAAGGAAGAAGAAGAGAAAGGCAACAGATCTATTGAAACCGTCAACAAGTGTCACGAGACATAAGCCACGTGGTGCCATTCGCGTCACAATGCATAGCGGGAAACATGTAGGACTCGTCACTGAAGTTGACGCGACTGGGAGAGTAAGCCTAGGTGGCATGTAGACATACTAAGCTGTATGACGAGACTGATCTTGTCAGACAACATGACGTCTTTGACTGCTCTACATTGGGCAAACTTTCCAAATATATCTTCATTTGGAGATACATTTAAAAATTGATCGTAGTATGGTCGTTTTGCCAATGGATCATATGTGCATTTGAACGAGTATCAAACCGACAACTTGCCTTTTATTTGGTTTAACGGACAACAAGCACCACTATGCCACTAATTCTTTTGTGAAATTTTATCACTAACGTTATATGGTTTTAATGTTTTTACAGTGAATGTAGATAAGTTATCTACATTTATTCTCAAAACAATGTCGTTTTAGAATGAAAGATTATAAAATTATAATAAGAAAGACTATTATTACCCTGAAATAAATTATAATTACAAAAATATCTTGATTTCCGTCTAAAACGACGTCATTCGTTTTTGGCTCAGAAAAAACGAACTTATATTATATTTATGGGTTCCCTTTTTGTCATTTGACATGACAAGAGCACTTTCCTACACACAAATTAAGTGTGGGTCCCACGCTTAAAAAAAAAATCAAACCAAAATCAGGATACGACGCCGTATCCTTGTTGCAGGAATGAACAGTGCCATTCCTGCAACATGATTCTTATATTTCCCTATATTTATTACATACTTTTATATAAATTCAAATCAAATGGTTCAATCAATATTGACTTATTAGGCCAATGACCCACTAACCTAGTAGTCAATCCGTTCTGTACAATTTTCATAACATTGGTTGTAATGATTAGTTAGAATAAAAAAAAATAGAAAACAGATTTTTAAACCAATCAGATCCTAAAGTTGCTAAACGAATCCCAATATAATATCCAATGGTCAAGAATCTTGAGTCACCAAAACAAAAGTACCATAGAAGCCACCAACCATGTCATACTAAGAGTCTCTTCATTTCATGCACCAATCTGTTTAAAGAACCCTGTATATTTCAAAAAAATAAATAAAAATAAACGAATGAATGACCAAAAAAGAAAGAAGGATGGCATATCTGTGTCTATGCAGGCCACAGCCTACATTTATGTATATCAGATTTAAAGGCATAGGATAGGAGCAATAGTTAAGAATGCAATGGACCATTAAACCTTGCATTGAGACAAACACTCTCAACTACCGCCACTTGTGTCTTTATTTGATTAGGAGTGCTATTAAACTCACATTTCACCAACCAATTTGCCAATGTTTCCTACTTGTTTTGTCCATCTCATTTTGAATCTTCAACTTTTATGAATACCAACTCATTTTAACATCATTCCCATTTATTAAATAGACTTTTGATTGTCACAAAATTCAAATGACTCTTCTCTGACAGATTCTTTGACTCTAGTGGATGAAAATGTTTCATTATCACTGCATTTCATTTCTCCACGTCAAATAAGATAATCTGCACTTACTAATACTGCACAGTAACAGCAATATCATGACATGGATCACAAAGAATTGTGGTATGATCAATTTCTCTTCTAGTATCATCATTTGCTCATGTTGGAAATTTTGATTTGATTTTATTTTATTTTTCTTTTGCATCGAAATAATGAATCCAGCTAAGTTTGAAAACCCGAGTTAAACTTTAACATACAAAAAGACATTCAATAAGAAAGCAAAACAAAGTTGCAGTTGGCAAAGTCTATTTATGGTCAAGTTTCACTTCGAAAGTTCACATCATGTTAGCCTTTAAACAAGAAAGTTACATATTTTTTTGTTTTAGAGGATGGTACTATAGCAGACATGCTAAATGCTCAGCATTGCCATTGTATTTGGGGATTGATATAGACATACTTATTTAAGAAAAAAAATAAAGTGATAAACTTACACTTTTACTGAAAATAAGTCTTCCTAGTTCCACCAACAAGTCCTATTTGTGTAATAAAGATTCAATACATTCATTAGAGTAGGTTGTTTTCATTTCAGAATCAGTAGTGTATAGCTTGAAAGTAAAATCATGGTTGTCACTCTTCTTTTAAGATAGAGTAGGTTGTTTTCATTTCAGTATCAGCAGTGTATAGCTTCAACACGTAAAATAATGCAGGAATTGTCATTATGTGAGGCAATGCCACTATAAAACTAAGGCTATTGTTCAATAATCACAACAATGCAGAAGCAAGTCCATCAGTCCCTCTTTTAAACAGCTTTAGAGTCCAGTTTATTATATTTACACCTACCTACCTTGGCTTCTCATACATTGTCTCAAAAATGAATACCAAGTATCTCACACTTGGTTTTGTGTTAACTTTGTTCTTGCCCCTAGCATCAGCAATGAACTCATATCACCCAAAACAGATTCCAGCTATGTATGTTTTTGGTGATTCCTTGGTTGATAGTGGAAACAACAACTACCTTCCAATAGGCGGACCAACCTTTCTTCCTTATGGTATAGACTTTGGTGGCAAACCTACAGGTCGAAACACTAACGGAAAAACAGTGGTTGATTACATAGGTGAGAAATACAATTGCCATTTGTTTTTCAACTTTCTATGCTCCATAAATTTATATTTCATTCTGATACAAAAATTTTAATGTTCAAACAAATTAATCTTCATTCTTTATGCAGCTATACATCTAGGACTACCCTTTGCCCCTCCCTACATGGGTCTGTCAAAGCATCAAAGGGAAAAAATCACCACAGGCATAAATTATGCATCCGCTGGTTCTGGCATTCTACCAGAAACCAACAATGTAAATGTTAAAACATACTTGTATTTAGAAGTTCATGAGCTTTGCTGTTCTTTGAATAGGTTGTCTCTGAAATCATATATTGTTTTCCCTCTTTGCAGTTTACATTGACACTAGACAGCCAAATAAAGTTACTCCAGAAGACTATTAAGAATGATTTGCCAAATCAGTTCAATGAGCAAGCAAAACTAGAGAGGTATCTATCTGAATCCTTCTTTTTTATCTCTACGGGGGTGAATGACATGTTCCATAATGGAACTTTCCATGGCACTACCAAATTTGCTTCAAACCTGCTAAAAGAATTCTCCCTACGCTTGCAGGTATGTATATGACATATAGAATTGGTTCTTATTTTTCATTCTATGACAATTTTTATCACTTTTGTCCATATGTAAGTGCAATTGCAAAAACACAAACAACCAAGCTTTCATTGAGAGAGATATATCAACAATAATATCACAAATGGGGGAGAATTCTTTCATTTGTTTCATCTTTTGTTTGTGGCAGAAAATGTATGACCTAGGAGCAAGAAAATTTTTGGTGAACAATATTCCTCCAGCAGGTTGCTTTCCATCAAGAGCTGTCCACACAAGACCAAGAGGAAAATGTGTTGACAAGATAAACATTGGGATCACATTTTACAATAGGAGGTTACCCAGTTTACTCCATGAGCTGCAATCTCAGCTTCCTGGCTCTGTCTTTGTACATTCAGATCTCTACAAGTTCCTTATAGAGCTAAGGGAAAATGGAGGTAGATATGGTGAGTTAAAAAAACCAGATGGTAACTCAAAACAGTAACTTAAAAGCTTGTGGTGGCACACTTGAATAACTGCTTTTCTTTGCAGGTATACGAGAGACATGGAAACCTTGCTGCCCCAATAACATTTATGGTGATCTTAAATGCCGTCCCAACACTGTTCCTTGTGCAAATAGAAACGCTTATCTTTTCTTTGATGACCACCCTACTCAGATTGCAAACCATATATATGCAACTCGTTGCTTCAATGAATCAACTATTTGCAGGCCTTCTGGCCTCAAAATGTTCTAGGATGCCTAGTTATGTTTGATATGTACGTGTTATTATAATAAATTGCATCCAATGAAATTAAAGTATCAACCTGTTCTAGTATGTCTAGTTCTGTTTTGTATGTACAATTTATTATAATAAATTGCATCCAATAAACTTAGTAATTTCCCATCTCTTGCTTTAGCAATTGATAAAAAAAATAACAACAAAAGTATGAGAGAGAGGAGAGAAAGTTTGTTGAGTGAAATCTGTGTAAATGACTTGAGAATTAAACTGATTATAATGAACTCATATATATATAGGGAAGAGAAGATAGCTTGTTCTATAAGCTGAAATTTAGCAATTACTTACAGCAGAAGTAACAGTAGCCAGCTCAGCAAACTAACTTCTAACAGAACCTGAGCTCGCACTAACAGTTTCTTACAGTTATGAAACTGAATCATAGAACAGAAAGCTGTCTATCACAAAATACAACAGAAAGTAAACTAACACAGAGTAAATCATATACTCTCTTACACCCTCTTCAAACTGATTACAAAAGCCAAAACGAGTAAGAAGGTTTCCATGGCTTTAAGTTTCCGAAAGCACAGGATACCCAAAGCAACCACAGAACATATAGAAAAGGGTTGTGACTAAAACACTGATAAAAGTAGCCTTCTTCATTGTTTTTGCCTATGATGGAGAGGATTTGACTGTGTTCCTGTTTCGTAACATAACCATCATTTGAGTTGGGACTTGAGTCTCACATGATTTAGTAAAATTTATTTGTACCTGAATTTCTAAAAGGATCTTGAGTAGGAGTAGGCAAAGGCTTGTTACCAAGTGCTTGGAAGATCCTCCAAACTTTTTGGGTTTGTGTTAAGAGTCACAACTCTTTTGTATACGTCGTTACTTGCCTTATTTCAGATTGACATCAAGGAATTAAATCGGCAATAACAAATTCACACCTTGGTTGACAACCTTCGAATATTTATCACTATTGTAACGTACGGATTGTTTTTTCCTTTCCATGCTTTAATTCATGTGATTGCGTGCATGGTTGAAGCAATTTCAAAACACATTCATTCCATCTATTATTCTGCCATAATTTGTCTAACAATTTCAACTATTAGTTCCAGAATGCAAAGTTTGCATAGAACAGCCCGAATGGTTACTGAGTTCATACCTGTCCCATAAAAAAATCTATTAATCTAGTTAAAGAGGAAAAGAAAAACTTCCATGTAGCTAATTTAATCATTTTACAGAAAATGCATTCGATTTCCTGAGCCTGATTTCGTGAACGCAATCCCCATACAGAAAAGGAAGCAGATGAAAGAAAAATACTGCCCAAGTTGACGTAGACTCATTCGTAAATATCATTAATCTCACAAATGACCTGCAGATCCCTACTTTTTAAGCTAAGGGTAACTTAAAATTTAACATACTAGATACAACAGGCATCATTTGACACCCCTGCTCTTGCCCCTTCTGTTGTATCTGGTAATTCTTTTACCCTTTTGCTTAGCAATACTAGTTGGTGTGGCTGCCAAGCTTGATTCTGAACCTAGCCGAGAACTATTCGGCTGAACCTCGTCCTGTACACTGGAACTGTTCTGCGAGCCAGTTGCAACACCGTCATCTTCTTTGAAAGCAACAGTGTCGGCTACATTCATATCAGGCACCTCCATAGATTCACGCAACAGCTTACAAGTCTCTTGCTCAAGAACACCCTGAGCTGTCCTCTCCTGTCTTGAATCAACTGCACTGGATTCATTATCCAATGTTCTTGTGCCCTGTTCAATAACATTCTCTGCATACAAACTGGCAAACAAGAAAGTGGTAGAATTAATTTACTATTTTGATAATTGGGATAAGACAGGAAAAATAATTTTTTTCCCCAGACAGGCGTGAGAGAAACTCAGTTGATTTTCCCACTATGAAATTTCACGTCAATTAAAAATTATTCATTCCAAATTTTGCAATTCAGGAAGTAAAGCTACCAAGAAAGAATCACGGCTTGTGGGTAATGAGTAATGACCCACGTATTGTGATGACAGTAAAAACAAAATTTGATTTACAATTTTACACTCTACTGATTAGCTAAAAGTAAAAGCCAGTTTACACAAAAAAAAGGTTTTACATTAAGAACATTCAACCAAAAAGAAACAAAAGAGCCAGATAACCATAAATTTACCTGGGCTCTTCTGAAGAGGGGAACCCATTTAACCATGCATCATCTGCTCCAACCTTCTCTTTGAATACCAAGCACTTTCCATCTTGTAATCTAGAATTTAAAGCTGCACTCAGAGGAAGGATCAGCATCTAAGACGAAAACTGAGATTTGAAAATTCTGAGTAAAAATATCTAAATTAAAGAGGCACAAAGAGGGAGAGATTTATAATAATCCACACAACAAGGGGAAGACACCATAAATCTACCTACACATGCTAGGTCCTGTAGATAACTACCCTAATCTATGTAAACACATCCTCAAGAAAATGAATAACATAATTTAACCAAGAAACATTAAATTGAATCCAATCACATTCCCAATAAAATGCGACAATCATACACAAGCTAAAGTGAGCCCGCTACCTACACTGAATTGCAATTAGTGAACAAAGGTTTAACTGAATACAATGTCTAAAAGAAGAATACGAACATGAAGAACTAGTATAAAAGTGAAGGAATTATATACTGCATACATGGTTTTTAAAAGCAAATAGTGCACTTGCAGCAATATATGGCTTGTAGGACTGTAGCAAAAATTGAATAGCACATCTTATTTGAAATACGGTGCATATTATATAAAAAAGTAATAATATATCTAAAACCATTTAAAATGACAATATAGAAACAAAGTACTGTGCGCACGTGTTTCTGTGTATATAATGAGTATTTCCTGGGCCTTGGCATAAAAACACAGAAGAAAAATTATATCTAAAAATAATATCTACCCACTAAACCTCAAGTGGCATGATCAGGGCAAAAAGAGACCTCCCAGTCAAAGCAGCTGACACTATTTGGAGGCTTTTCTTTTTGACCAAACATAAATCATAAATTCTAGAAGCATAGAAATAAAAAAGCTGAAGTTCCTTTGCATGCATTGTTCATTGCAACAAAACATTTGAGAAGCTACTTTCACCTGAACGGACCTCCACCAGCGATTCAAAAGCAGTGGGCAATGTCAAAGGCCTCCAATAGCGTGCCAAAGCTTATGGGGGAGTTTAGGTTTTTTTTTACTTTCTTTTTAGCCAGACCCGACACAAAAGCTATATTTATTTACTGCACAAATTTTCTTAGTTTCACTGGTAGATGTTATTGCCATCAGAAGATAGCACTGATTCCAAGGTGGCAAAACTAAACACATAGCATAGTGCAGGGGCCCATGGTGCCTCCCTAAACACTATAGCATCTCATAATAGCACTCTTAACTATTTCTACTTAAATTGCATATTGAATGTAATGAATGAATTGATACACAGATAGTGCTAACAAGCTCTATTTATAGAGCTGAAGCTGACTCAGTGATGAGTCAGCATTACTGACAGATTACAAACTGAAAGCACAACAAAATTGAAACCATCTAACAAACTGATACAAGGGAAATAATCTGCTACAACAGTATACAAAGAAAATAATCTACAACAGGTTGCTAGCTACCTAATAGTATGTAATATTAACCGAGTGCTTTTTCTAATAAGGCTGCCAAAGGGACTAAAAGTTCCTACCTTCTCTAGTTTCTTCAACTGAATCTCGCTGATGATTAGACCCATTAGTGTCATTATTGCCATTGACTTTAACCAGACCACCATACCTATTACATTCAGAAAAATGTTAAAATTAGAAGCTAATTAATACAACAAAACAGGGCCAGTTTTCCACAAAAAGCCTGACCAGACCTTTGTGCGTGTGACTCTTGATAATCATAGACATTGTCATAGGATTAAACTCAAAACACAATTTGTAACTGTTACTGTATCAATCTTGCACATCATTGTGTCTAGAGTTACAACTTTATTGGTTGGTCACCCAGAGAAAGTACCATGATAATAATCAAATACTGGGAATTTGGACACCTTTACTCAGAAGAGTTGTCAATTTCGAACACAGTAGCGCAAAACGAAATGTTTGTGGTGTAGGAAAGTTAAAATTTCCACTTATCAGCTAAAGAAAATGTCAAAAAGGTGATGAATGGGTTCAACTATAAGGACATTAAATGTATTGTACATTTACTTCATCAATCAAACAAGTAAAAAGAAACAAGGAAAAAGTAAAGTTGGGGTGGGAAGGGAGAATCAGGTAATATCAGAAAGTAAATGGTGACAGTGACACACTTAACCTGATAAAAATCTACCTATAAAAGTATATTGAAAATAAATGTCAACAAGATAGAAATACTCTAACCTGAGCATATCATCCGAGGACCCATCTCTTAGTCCTGAAGAAGTTATTTCTCTGCAGTCATCTTGAGTGCCTATGTAGCATGGTTTTTCATAAGCACAGTAAAACTTCTAGTGGGAGAGGGGAATAAAACTCATGAATAAGCATTTCATCTGCTGGTCGGGTCGCACCAACAGAAAGCACAATGGACTTATACTTGTAAGGAGTAAAAACTTTCCTACTTATCAGCTCTAAAATAACAATGAACAATGTCTATGTCAAATTGCACAATTATAATCATCCTCGGTATTAGATAGGCATTGATAATTAGCAAACGGATTTGCTTCTAAACTATATTTGAATAACAAGTTAGGTATACTGTCATTCTTTAAGACACCAATATAAGGCCTAAAAGTATTTTTGGTTTTTTTTTGGTTTTTTTTTTGGGGGGTGTTGGGGGGGGGGGGGGGGGGGGGGGGGGGGGTTGCAGTACAGATTACTAGCAGCAGTGTTACCTTTGGTTTTCAGAACAGCTACAAAGCCCTAGTGAAAGGAAAAAAAAGTAACCATGTTAGAAACAAAATAGCTTGATCCTTATAATAATCCTGAATGTATTACAAGGAAGGGGGCAGGGAACCCTAAAGATGTGCTATTTATATTAACTCCACTTCGGATGAGCACCTGATTCTGTTCAGAATTATTATTAGCTGGATCACACAGCACAGATTCAGGTTGGAACCCATCCAGTTTACTCTCCAAATCTGAAAGGCAGAAATGAAACATGGTTATAAAGAAAAAATAGCTTTTACTATTAAAATGACTGATTAGCAGAATAACCAAACAGGCTTCCTACAGCAGTAGAATCATACCTGGAGAGGCCTGAGAACCTAATCCTCTGGCCAAGTTTGTAGATGCATATTCTAAATTTGTAAAATTATTTTCTTTCTCTTGCAAACTAGCTTCAATAATTTCAATAGCAGAAGAGTTCACATTATTTTTATGCTCAACAGCAAATGCAGACCAATCAATTTTTGAGGAGGGAAGAGTCCTAAGCATCTCCTCTGTTGCCCTGGATCTTACTCTTCGTATTTCATCCTGAATACTCCATGATCCAGTAGCAGGAGAATCCCTTTTCAACTGCATTTTTATTATCAGCACAAATGCACATCCATAAACAGAACATTTGAATACTGTAACTCAATCAACACAGATGAAAACAGCTATGATTGACAGCAGCATTCATGTAAATCCTTGACAACTGATACTCCAGAACATGAGAAATTCTATTAAGGTACAAGTATATCACATAATTTATCTTGTAGTAGTATAATAAAATAATTAAGGAAGCTAACTGCTAAAAGAGGAAAACTTAGAGCCTCTGGATTTTACCAGGTGACAGTCATAGATTTTCCAGAACAAATCTTCTCACTCAGGTTGTTTTATGAAGTCGAAGCATGTGAATTTCAAAAATAATACTTTTCAAAATTTCTACATCCACTTTTAGGCAGGCCAATGGATTGGATTGATCACGTATGTACAAGGAACGGTTAAAGCCCCATATCATTAATTAACTATCATATACTTCCGTTATTTTAGGTCATCTTTTTCCATTTCACCATTCACTTGCAAGCCAACTTTAGAGATTTAATGCTAGTATAGGAGATCTTTTGAGCTCCTACTGAACCCTCGGACAGCCCCTTCCCATCCATATATCTTACTGTTTCATAACTTTTTCTTATACAAGCCTCCACCTAAGCATGAAATTGGCATTTCCACTACGTCTTATTCTCATAATGAAAAACAGAAATCGTGCAGATACAAGATACATACTCATCAATGGCCATTCACTATCTTTTCTAAGAAACATCAAGAACTTTGCAGAATCAACTTCTTAGCTTCAATTCAACAAACTAACTATACCCAAGCTGCTGCAACTGTTACCAACCGCAGGAGGGGGGGTAAGAAAGGTGAGATTATGACTGGCAGGAGAGACGGGGCACATAAAATCCACCCCCTTCCCATCCCTGGCAAACTAAGCAGGATTATAATGCAAAATAAATAACTCTTGTGAAATTAAAACTTAATTATTTCCCTTAAAATTCAACTTGCATGCATAATACCCCCCTCATACATAATTATCTTTATCGGTCTTCACATTTTCTAAAGACAGCCAAATATATCCCAAAAATAAAATAGACAACTTCTATCTACTATTTTATCTACTTCGTATTCAATTGTCCTGTACTCTATCTCTATTAGTTTTCAAGATTTTAACTTCATGAATTTCATTAATAATAAATTTTCTGGTTTAACTATACCCTGTGACAGCAATGTCTGTTCAAAATGAAGGGCTCCACTCTCTAAATAAATTTCCAGTAAAGAAGTCAATAACATAAAGGTAAAAAGCCCAGTTTGAATACAAAATTAGCTAATAATAAAATGATAAATACATTTTTTCCAAAAATAAATAACACATCAAATGGCACCTTGGAGGACGATGTAGAATTGCCACCAAATAGATGTGGTGTTTCTTCTTTAAAGAGTTGAATTCCGGATGGTGTTGGAGGCTTAGTATGGTCTATGGAGGGAGATGCCCACGGAGGGCGTGTGCGCATATATGACTTAGCCACATCCACCGGTGATCCTTCATCTTTGGGATCCTGCATAACACCCAGAGGTATATAGGTAAAAACAAAAATTAATGGGAAATCATATTGCCATGATATATATTATATGATTTTTGGATGAAAGGGGAAGGAGATAGCATGTACAAACATCAGTATAAGTATCTCCACAAACTCAGATACAGAAAGAAAAAGTCACTAACTTGTGGTGATGTAGCCAAAATCAAACTATGACTTCCATAACCTAAATCTGAATTTGAATCTAATCCTGACTTCTTCTCCTGCAGCCATTTCTTTGCCTCCATAACAGCAGCACTACAGAGATCGGGTGAATCTGTATATGAGATAATTAAAAACCCATGGTCAGGTAACAGTAAGGAGTTGAAATTGGGTTTTGTATGGAGAGAATACCGTTTCCAAAAGTCATGTTGAATATATCCCTTGGCCTCTTATCCCCATCATCATCATTTGCAGGAGAATCTACAACTCTTGATCTTATTATTTTTATCAACCTATCACATTCTTCCCTGATCAAACATTAAGTTATTTTAGAATCTTTTTCTGAACAACTTGAGGAAATAGCTAATGCATCCATAAAATTCTACACATTGTTAAACCACATAATAAATACAGTTCTACTCCACATATAGTTCATAAACTACATATCACTCAAGGTTTGCAAATTTTAGTACAGGTCATTGATATATGCTGCATAATGCACTTTTCATGATCATGCTCCTTATGCCTGGCCTGGGTTGATTCTTATATTTTGATCGCTCCGAATTTTCGGCAAGTTAAAGTCACCAAGATTGTACGTAATTTGGAGGAAAATTTTGAAGTCAAAGGATGCTGTCAAGTCTTGCTATGAATTTAAAAATTGGCAAATGGCAGAAATGTCTTCTATGATTTGATCACTAGCATCTACGATTCTGTATGGTATACTACTAGATAAATATGAAATAGAATTATGCTAGAGGCTAAGAGTACTGCTAATTTTTCTTGTACAAAGAGTAGTACTAATTTTAAATTCAACTCTATGAAAATACAATAGGTAGTCCTAAAACCAGGATGCACACTTTTAGTGTCTTTTTATTTGACTAAAGATAAGTATTAATGAAATTACATTGTTTACAAAAGAGGCAGATCAAGCAAACTTCCAACACATTATTATACACAAACAGAAGGGTGAAAAAAACTAAGAAGCAACAAAGGAAAAATCCACATGTTAAATTTATAATCAATATAAATTATTCAGTACCTTGAGAATGACTCTTGCATAAGTAGCTGCTCGATGATATGCTTGCTTTTGCTATTCCAAACTAATGGCTGGAATCCCTTCACAGAGAAATCAATCAGTTCTGGTGTCCCACCCTTTCATCACAGAATCCAATATCAAATGTGCAATATTCTTAGCTGAAACCAAGGGATTCATGAAGACAAGAAACCATCGACAAACTGCCTCTAAATCACAATCCAATGCATTTCTAAAAATGACATTTTAAAGCTTCGGAATCATCAACCAATTTTATTTTTTTATTTTTTTTGGAGAGGATAGGTTAAAGGGGTGAAGTATTCTAAAACTACCAAAGGCCTATATAAGTAAGTGGAACAAAAAGGTGTCTAAAAAGGAAATATGAAGAACAATGACTTATTGAAAAGGACTAGTTTCTACAATAAACAACACAAGCGCTACATCTCAAGCACAAGACAACATATCAGAGAGTCAATTACCTTGTTCAATGCAATATCACCTTCAAAAGGGCTATCATTTTCATCATCGAAAGTACCAACTTCCTCTGCAAAATTGTACACCGAGCACGTTTAAAAAAAAAAAAAAAAATTTGAACAAAGCATGACCGCTGCATACGGTTATATTTAAAATACACCATATATTCGTGTAATTTGTCTTTTTCATATCCAATTAGGAACTTTAAAACTGCCATAATTGCAATGCACCTACCTCGAATATTAGATCTACCAAAACTAAGATCAACTACAACTAAAGTCAGCACACACAATTTCTGTTCCCTCAAGTCCACATAGCAAAAAAATAAAAAAAAAATAAAAAAATTGACTTAATTATTTTAACAGCAGAAAAACAAAAAGGACAGAAACCCTAGTATTCCAAGTAGAGCAGTGTCATGGTAAGAGAAGTGCATATATGAAATTATAGACATTACCATCACTGGAATCGTTAGCAGAAGAGGAAGGAGAAGAAGTAGCGGAGGAGGAGGAAGTTGGAGAAGAATTGAGATCCAAAACAGAGGAAAAGAGCTTTCCGGCACCAGAAGCAATGAAACGGGTTGGGGAGACAACGAAACGCGAGAGCCAATTAGGGCTCTGAGAGGGATCGGGTCGGTCGTAGGGGGTCCGAGTCCTGGCAGAGGCGGTTCGGCGGGTTCGGACCATTTTGCCACCCGATCGAGATCCGGGAATGGAAGCCATTGGAGTGAAGCACACAGACACACAAGGGAAACAAAGCTTCAACGCTTGCAGAATGAAGAGGTTCCACTTTTTCAGTTCTACTCCTTCTCTTCTCTTCTCTTCTCTTCAAAACCTCTTCTACTCCCAGAAACAGAAGCAGAGGTTGATTGTTATAGCGGTTATCTTCGGTTTATTGCGCTTTTTTCTTTCCCTTCCTCTTCTTCTTTTGGTCCTTTTTTTTTTTTTTTCCTTTTAATATTCGTTTTCCTGAAAAGTCTGGCGATTTGGGATTTTTTTTTTTTACAAAATTGCCTTTCTGTTAAAAACAATTATCGATTTGTTTCACTTTTTTTTTTACACGTGATGTGACTTTATTTGAGGGTGAAGGACAATAAATTAACCAAATTAATTAAGGGTTTGGTGTTTGTCATTTTAAATGACATAAGTTATGTCATTTTAGGAGAGATAGACACAGAAAAACGAAAATCATGGGAGAGAGAAAGTCGATGGTTTTTTTTTAATTTAAAATTCAAATTTTCTGTATCTGTATCTCTCTTAAAATGACATAATTTTCTGTTATTTAAAATGACAAACACTTTTCTCATTAACTAAATAAGGAAAGAAAAAATTAGTAATGATAAAAAAAGAATTCAAATAATTCAATACACTTAATTTTTTTTTTACATAAGGAAAAAATATTTGAAATTAGCATTGAATTTTTTTATATAAGGAAAAAATATTTGAAAAGCATTGTTAATACTGAATTTGATATATTTAAATTTGAAAGGATTTCGAAATATCATTATAAAATCGTATTACAATTATTGATGAAGATCTTGTTATTATTATTATTAATTATTGATTATTTATTGTCTTTTCTTTTCCTTATTTATCAAAAATAAAAGAATGGAGTGTATTGTATATTTTGGACGAAAAGGAAAAAAACAAGAGCCATTATTAATAATAATATTTCCAAATCCCTACTGTTATGGATATATTCATCATATCCTAACTACCTGCTCAAGAGATCATCAAAGGGAGAAGTTATTCCATGGACCAGTCCCATAGAATTTACAAATACTCTTTCTCACATGTAAAGGGAAAAAAAGGAAAACAAAAGAAAAAGCAGGGGTAAAATAGTCAAAAAAGTTTTGATAGTGAGTGGGAGCAAGAAAAAATAACATGGTCGGGATCATATAAAAATTTTCCCATCAAAGGATAGATTCTCTATAATCCTAACAATATTAAAAAACAAAAATACTCAAGATAAGGACCTCATCCCAACAGAAAGGGGAGGAATACTAATGCAACCTGGGAGATCTCAAAAGGCCCAAGCCTAGGAAGGTAATCCTTATAAATAAGAGCCTAAAGATCCCAAGTACATACTTTTTAACCTATTTACTATTGTTGCCAACACTGTGCACACTCACGTCTTGGCTATAAGCCCATTGCTTGTGCGCAGTGATTGGGACATCGGCTATAAGCCAAGTATACATCTGATTATACAGTATCTCTGAGCGCATACTATACGGTATAGCAATACGGTCTTTCCAGGATCGAACACCTACAAATTCAAAAATAATGATATGATAACTTATTTTCTCTTTTGTTTCTTATTTTTTGAAAAACAAATCGAGTTGATTCAATTTTTTTACAAATAGGAAAAATTCAAATCAATTTTATAAAAACCAGACCAACTCGGCCACGTTGACCCAAAATTTGATGAACCGGTTATATAATTGGTCTGTTTTCGTATTGGACCGACCATGTAATGGAACCTACGTGACTCGGTCGATTTTTGTAAAAATCGATGACCCAGCCCATTTATAAAAAAAAATTAGTTTCCTCTCATCAATTGATGTCTTTCTTTTTTTCACTCTCACACACAAATGATTTGTTTTTGTTTTTTTTTGAAATATTTGAGTAATCTGTTGCTTATTGAATTACATAGTTAGAAATGTCGTCTACTGATACTGAAGCACCAGTATCACAAATATTATATGTTTGATAGATCTTTTGCTGGACAATGATATGTAATTTATTGTTTTTCTTATTAAAACATTTGAAATTGATATCATTTTTTTACAGATATTTGAGTATGTTTATAATTTTTTAATATAAATTATAGATTTACATATATTTACCGGCCATGCGGTTAAACCAGCGAGCCGGTTTTAATAACAATGAATTCAATAGTCAAATTTTATTATTAATGATAAATTTGTCATTTTTGAATTTTCAAAGATTTAAAAGATTGCATCAGGTAATTGACAATTATTAATGATTTTAAATATTATTTGACTTAATAAATTTAATAACCAATCATAATTTAATATCAGTTTGATCAATTTAATTAATTTAATGCATTATGCTTGATATTTACTCGATTTAATAAGGTAATGAGTTACAAGATAAATGATATACATAAGGTCAAAATTTCTTTACACCAGCATAAGAATCATAAATCTTACATCAAATTTTCATACATTTGATGATGGTAATTTTTTGGGAATTAATGATAAATTAATTAGTGTAACCCAATAAACTATAATCGTCTGATTCGTAGAAATCAATGGTTAAAATTAAGTATAAAACTTATAATTCTTATATCATGTAAATTCACACACACACACACACACATATATATATATGGCTTATCGTTTCTCAAGCTGCCGGAGATAATTTTATCTCCGGCTACTAAATCATAACCGTAGAAAGATGGATCAATGGTAATGAAGAAAGAGAGAGAAAAAGAAAATCATAATCATTCAAAGGTTAATCAATTAATATAAGGAAATAAATAAACTAAACGACGTAGTTTTGGGGTAGCTGGAGATAAACTTATCTCAAGTTGCCGGAAAAATGTTTTTCCCATATATATATATATGTGTGTGTGTGTATGTGTCTAGGGGTTTACATTTCTACAGCTGCTGTACGTGCAGCAATCAAATATAATCATAATCATACACCTGTCGTTGTTGTACGTAAAGCGGCTGCATAAATTATTTTAGCATTATGTATGTGTGTATGTATATGGGCTTATCATTTCTCAGCTGCTTGAGATAACTTTATCTATGGCCACTAAATCATAACCGTACAAAGATAGATCAATGGTGATAAAGGAAGAGAGAGAAAAAGAGAATCATAACCATTCAAAGGTGAATCAATTAATATAATAAAATAAATAAATAAAATGACTAGTTTTGGGGTGACCAGAGATAAACATATCTCAAGCAGCTTGAGAAATATTTCTCTCTCTATTATATATATATATAGAAAAATGTTATACTTACAACCTACTTTCGTTTACAACATTTTACAACTATATCTTAACCGTTGATTTCTGTGAATCAACGTTATTATTTTCGCAAATCAAACTTATTATTTAATTATTAATTTGCAATAAATGATAATTGTTGATTGACGGAAATCAACAGTTAAGATATAGTTGTAAGAGATTGTAAATATAATCTTTCTTATATATATATATATATAGGTTTTATGAGTGTCAAGTCACTGGATATAAGTTTTTGTCCAATCACTAAATCATAATCGTACAAATGTTGATCAATTAATATAAAACAAAAACAAAAAAACAACATAGTTTATTCATGACTTGACCATCCAGTGACATTACAAAAAATAACTTTCTATATATGTGTGTGTGTGTGTGTGTGTGAAGCAGTTATATTTATTACTCTTTTAGGCTTATTACTCTTACTACCTGATCGGTAATCGTTGGATCAATTTAAAATCAACGGTTAAAAAATGGAAACTAGTGGTAATCAATCAGGTTTTAGGAGTAACAAGGCTAACATGGTAGTAAATATAACATTTCCCTATATATAACTTTAATAGCTCTTCTGTAGTTGCAGATCAGAAAATTTGCAGCCACACTTAATTCCACCAGGATAAGGTTCTGTATCCTGGAATTTTATTTTTTTTTATTTTATTCCGGGATACGGCTCCGTATCCTAGTGTTAATAGGTTTGCTGCAATTTTCCTATCTGCAGCGACAGCAGAAACGATGAACCCTATATATATATATATATATATATATATATCTGTGATTTATATTTCTGCAGCTGTTGTACGTGCAACAATCAAATATTTGCCATATATATACTTGAAAGCATTAAATGCGGGGAATCATAACCATACAAAGGATGAAAACATTAAATGTGGGGAATCATAACCATACACATGTCGTTGTTGTACGTAAAGCGGCTGCAGAAATGATTTTACCTATATAAATATATATATATATATATATATATATAGGGATTTACATTTCTACAACTGCTATACGTGCAACAATCAAATACTTGCCATATATATACTTGAAAGCATTAAATGCGAGAAATCATAACCATACAAAGGATGAAAGCATTAAATGTGGGGAATCATAATCATACACCTGTCGTTGCTGTATGTAAAGCGGCTGTAGAAACGATTTTACCATATATATGAGAAAAATATTTCTCAAGCAGCTTGAGATATTTATCTCTGTCTACCTAAAATCTACATCATTATTGTTTATTTATTTCCTTATATTAATTGATTCACCTTTATATGGTTATTTTTTTTCATCTTCCTTTATCACCATTGATTCATTTTTGTAAGGTTATGATTTAGTAGCCGGAGATAAAGTTATCTCAAATAACTTGAGAAACAATAAGCTTATATATATACATAGGGTTTAGTCAGTGGCGGACACACATAGTTCCCGCTGTCTGCACTTGCAGACACAAGTTTGAGATTTTTTTTTAAAGGGTGGGTGATTTAGGTCAAGTAAAAAAAAGAAAAAAAATTAGGAAGATTGAAAAAAATAAACATAGGCCCAACCATGGTAGTTAAAATCGATATCTTACCTAAAATCGGAAGAAGGATAAAGAGTCATAAAACGTAAAATCCTAACATAAAAAAATCGTAAAAAATCATAAAATCGTAAAACTGTTTAAAATTTTGATGAAATTGTTTTGATTAAAAAAAATTGTAAAATCATAAAATCGCATATTTAAATCGGGATTTTAACTATCATGGATCCAACCCAACCAACCCCTATAATTATTTTCTTTTCTTGTTTATATATTTTTTAATATATTTAAAATTTTCTTTAAAAAAAAAAATCTTCGGGTGCGCTGCCCCCGAACCTCCACATTAAGTTTGCAAACATAAATTTTTTTTTTCTGGGTCCGCCATTGGGTTTAGTGGATGTACAGTGACTGCACCTAAGAATAGTGGTTCATTACTTACTCCGGAAGTATACCAGAGTACACCGTTCTTCTCTAGTGTACATTCGGGAACGGTGTACTCTGGTTTAGTTCCGGGAGTACATAGAGAATCGTACCAATTCTTAGATGCAATCACTTTACAAATCATTTTGTCATATATATATATAGGGTCCGTCGCTTCTCATGTGACTGCTGATGAGAAAAGTTGCAACAAATTTTTAACATTAGGATACACGTGCGGATTCTATCAAAAAAAAAAAACCAGGATTCAGACGTGTATCCTGTGTTGCTGCACTTTTTCCCTTCTGCAGTCACATAAGAAATACTTTCCCCATATATATATATATATATATATATATATATATATATATATATATAGGGCTTTATTAATCTCATGTGACATAAGAGAAGCTCTCTTATGTCATAGAGATAGTTATGAGTGTGACCCACTCACTTAAAGAAAAAGAAAAAAAGAAAAAAAAGCAACACGGAAGTCGATGTATGTGTAGGAGAGAAAAATACTCTCCTACAGCATAAGATAATATTTTCCTATATATATATATATATATATATATATATGTGTGTGTGTGTGGAGGGTTCTTTTGACTCCAGAGTAAGACTTTTAAGTCTTATTCCCAATCCCAGCTGTTGATGGACGGAAATCAACGGTTGTCATTAATAGTGTAATTAATAATTAATTAATTAATATAACTTCCTAAATTATAACTGTTGGATAGACAGAAATCAACGGTTAGGATGGAGAGTAAGACTTGAGTCAAATGTTCTCTCTCATATATATATATATATATATATATATGGGAGGGTTCTTTTGACTCCAGAGTAAGACTTTTAAGTCTTACTCCAAATCTTAGCCGTTGATGGACGGAAATCAACGGTTGTCATTAATAGTTTAATTAATAATTAATTAATTAATATAACTTCCTAAATTATAACTGTTTGATGAACGAAAATCAACGGTTAGGATGGAGAGTAAGACTTATAAGTCTTACTCTTGAGTCAAATGATCTCTCTCCATATATATATATATATATATATATATATATATATATATATATATTGAGGGATGGAACTTGTATTTATCATTTTTTTTTCCTCTTTTTTTGTCAGATACCAACTGATGTCCTAAGCTGACTAATTCGATTGCAAGTGTTAACCTCTTGACTCTTCGTAAGGGAAAAATGACTAATTCGATTGCAAGTATTAACCTCTTGACTCTTGGGCGTTTGGTATGCTGGATTTTGAGAGATTCCCGGGAAACTGAATTTTTCTAAATTTTAAATTTTCAGATATTATCGTAAACTGAATGCAAAAATCATATTTTTGAAAATCGAGATTCCCGGACAAATAAAAATTTCTCCTGTACCAAGGGAAAAATTTAAAATGATCCGAGATAACCGTGATCCTTCCATTTTAGGGGTGCCACATAAGAGGAGTTTTTTTCTCTCTCTCTTATGCCCCAATTATTGAAAAGTGCTCCACGAGCACTAAATGATTTCTCCTTCCTAAGAGTTACATCATTATAAGAATACAAAATTTTACATTTACTTTTAAAATCAAATTTTACACGTGATGTGACTTTATTTGAAAGTGAAGGACAATAAACTAACCAAATTAATTTAATAAATAAAAAAAATTAATAATCATTTGTTAATGATAAAGAAATTCAAATAATACACTTAATATTTTTATAAGCCACAAAAATTGAAATTTAATACATTTTGAAAGAATTTCGAAATATCATTATATAATCGTATTACAATTATTGATGAAGATCTTGTTATTATTATTAATTATTGATTATTTATTGTCTTTTATTTTCCTTATTTATCAAAAATAAAATAATGGAGTGTATTGTATTTTGTGGACGTAAAGGAAAAAAAGTCAATAGCCATTATTAATAAGGGGTAAGATATAATTGTAATCACCAATTAGTGTTACTACTAATATTATTATCAATCAATTTTACCTTTAGATTGATTATGTTGATCCAATAATTATATTTATTTTTATTTTTGTATGGTTAGGATTTCTCATATTTAATGTGAAATCATTAAATATGTGAAATCATAATTATGCAAAGGTAAAAATAAATATTAAATATTAAATATGGGTTCATGGGAGAAAAATAAATAGTGGATCCCACCCTTAATTTGTGAGTGTATGAGAGAAAAATTCTCTCATATCACATGAGAGTAATATTTTCCTACTAAAAATATGTAATCGATCAATTGATATAGAATTATATGACACAAGCAGTCGTGGATCAGAATCATAACTAGAAGTCAAAATAACTAATATTTCATTTTCATAAATGACACATGCAGACGTGGCGCGACCCAGCTAGTATGTTATAGCGACCTTGGGTTGCAATCCACTTCACGTGAAGTTCCATCAAACCCCCTCTTCTCTATCTTTTAACAGGAAATATTTTTTATGCTCTAGGACCACTCAATGATTTGGTACTCTTTCTTATAACATTAATTATTTTTTTTTTAACCTTTGTTATTTTTCTTCTTTTTTAATTTTATCTTTTCATTTATACTAGGGGACCACCTAAAAAATGGTGGTCCTGGGTCACAATAAATCTTCTCCTTTTAACTGGCAAACAAAGTAATAAAATACCCTTTTTTTTTTTCTTTTTTTTAATATATGATGATGTTATTTAACACATTAAAGATCCATAAATACCGTTTTTTTAGTTTACTCTTAATGTCGATTTCTCTGAGCCAATCATTACAAGCCACTGTATATTTCTGTTGAGTTGACCTTTCCTTAATCATGGAAACTAATCCTAGTACGCTTACACGACAAAAAGTAAAAAACAAATGCCCAAAAAAAAAAAAAAAAAAAAAAACCTACTCAAACGCCCAACCCAAGAACGTATGTATAGAGTGGAAATTAACAAACGGGAAATTCATGAATGGCATGAGTACTTGTTATTCACCCATGCCATAATAGCTTATTGCTTAAAACAGAAAGCAAAATGAATCAACCTTAAAGTCTTGCAAGATTTTTCACACTCTATATATATATATATAGAGCAAAAAAAAATAAAAACTCAAATGTCGCGCACGTGGAAGACATTGCGGTTCTTGATGACTACATCGTACATATAGACAGAGGTGAATTTGGTGAAATCCCATGGAAGAGAAATGAGGTCACTGGAACAATGCTTGTGGAATTGGTACAGTTCAGCGTCTCCACCATAGTACCTTTCCCATCCTAAACCAATCAAGATTTGCTCAAGCGAACTATAGGAAGATACCACTTCCCCAGTTTGTAAATGAACCAAAACCTTTTTCTTTGAACTACCTGTCTTCCCCTCCGCCGCTTGAGGGTTTTCCACCAAACGAAACCCACGATCCTTGAATATCCATACCCCAGACATTAATTTGAGTTTTCTACAGGGTAGTAGGATATATGTGGTTATTTATGATGCGTTGCTCAGAGGAACAGGGGAGAGAAAATTAATTAGAAGGGGTTCTGTTCTGTTTTGTTTGAGGAAAGCAAAGGTTGGGTGGGGAAGGGTATATATATATATGTTTCAAAAGAGGAAAATACTATACTCTTGGAAGTGGAAGATTTATATGTCTCTTTCGGGGTTTAGGTCCTCTTTGGTTAGGATAAGGCATTATTGGCTTTGGCATAGAATCTGGATATTGTGGGGCCTAATGGGGTTTCTCATTTAGGAGAACAACTTCATGCGATTCGATTTCCGTTCAATGCAAGAGTTGTTCCGTCATACATCACGAGATGACCACGTGATGACAGTGGGAGTGATTGTATTAATCTTCCTTAGATGTTTACTCATCATTGGGAATAATTGGACACCGTAAAGGCAATATTTGCCCCCTTTGTCTAGTCATTTGGATTTTACGGCTCAGAAAAAATGGTCTCTGTTTTAGCTGACAATAAATAATTAAATTAAATTTTAACTATTAATATATATATATGGCTTATCGTTTCTCAAGCTGTTTGAGATAATTTTATCTCCGACTATTAAATCATAACCGTACAAAGATGGATCAATAAACGGCGGACCTGTATATGTGCAAGTGCACACACAAATTTTTTTTTTTAAAAAAGAATAAAATATATTTTGAGTCATCAATAAAAATTACGAAACCTAATTTTTTAATGTCAGAAGATATCTGGATCTATTTTTGAATTCTGAGAGACCACGAGTCGACTTTTTTTTCCTAAGGGATTAAATTAAGGCTCGTCATTTTTGTTGAGGACCCAAAATGTTCTATTGTAACAGTTTAGTTGACTCTTGATTACTTTTTTTATGTTAAGTTAAAGTTTTTTTTTCTGTTTATATTCTTTTGTATTTTAATATATTTAAAAAAAATTCCTTTGTTCTTTTATTCTAAGTGTGCAGACATAAATAAAATTTTTTAGGTCCGCCATTGTGATCAATGGTGATAAAGAAAGAGAGAGAAAAATGGAATCATAACCATTCAAAGGGGAATCAATTAATATAAGGAAATAAATAAATAAAACGACGTAGTTTTGGGGTGGCTGAAGATAAGTTTATCTCAAGCCGCTTGAGATAAGTTTATCTCAAGCTACGTCGTTTTATTTATTTATTTCCTTATATTAATTGATTTACCTTTAAATGGTTATGACTCCTTTTTTCTCCGACTACTAAATCATAACCGTACAAAGATGAATTGTCGCTGATAAAGGAAGAGAAAAAGGAAATCACAACCATTCAAAGGTGAATCAATTAATATAAAGAAATAAATAAACAAAACGACATAGTTTAGGGGTGACCGGAGATAAATATATCTTAAGCAGTTTGAGATATATATATATATATATATAGGTTTTATGAAAGAAATAGAAAAATATGTGGACCTCACCTCTTTGACGTGTGTGTAGAAAAGTGAAGTAATGTTATATAATGTAACAAACATATATATATATATATATATATATATATATATATATATATATATATATATATGGGGAGGGATCATTTGACTCCAGACTTAAAAGTCTTACTCCTCATCGCAGCCGTTGATTTCCGTTCATCTAACGGTTATAATTTAATAAATTATAACAATTAATTATTTATTAATTTCAAATAAATGATAACCGTTAAATGAACGAAAATCAACGACTGCGATGAGGAGTAAGACTTATAGTCAAATGATCTCTCCCCTATATATATAGAGTTTGGTGTTTGTCATTTTAGGAGAGAGATAGACACAGAAAAATAGAAATCATGGGAGAGAGAAAGTGAGTGGTTTTTTTTTAATTTAAAATTCCAATTTTCTGTGTCTGTATCTCTCTTAAAATGACATAACTTTCTGTCATTTAAAATGACAAACACTTTCTCTCTCTCTCTCTCTATATATATATATATATATATATATATATATATGGGAAACAAATTTCTACTTTCAAAGGAGAAAGTTTTTCTCTTACTAGTGACTCATAGTATAAGTGAGGCCTACAAAATAGTGGAGAGAAAAAAAAAATAAAGATGAGATCAACTTATGCTATGAGTCACTAGTAGGAGAAAAAATTTCTCCTTTAAAAAGAGAAAATATTCTCCCTATATATATAGGGTTCGTTTTTTCTACAGTTATTGCAGATAAGTTATCTGCAGTAAGCCCAATATGACGTCGTTTTGGGACAAAAATCATGATATTTTTTGTAATTTTAATTTATTTCAGGGTTATAATAGTCTTTATACTTATAGTTTTTTAAGACTTTCATACCAAAACTATGTCGTTTTAGAAATAAATGCAGATAACTTATCTGCATTTTTTTCATATATATATATATATATATATATATATATATATTCGTGTGTATATATATTCATTTGAATTGATTCTTCAATTTATAAACTAAATACATCATATGATTTTTTAAAATATTTCAAAAAAAAGGTTATATATAATTTATTAAAAGTCTTTTGTTCTATGTACGTAGGTGGACCTCGGATTGACTTTTAGGATTTTAAATGTTATAGTGTCCTTTCTGATCATATTAGATTTTTTTTTTTTGTATTTTTTAAAATAATAAAGAGATCTAGTACAATTATTGGGTTATTCTTCCTATAATTTTGCATCACCGTTCAAACCTCATCATCAATAGCGCCTTCAGAAATGTTGAGTCTTTAAAGCACCCCTCAATTTTCAAACGACCACAATTTCAGTAATAAATCATCATTTGTCCTCCGAACGTGCCTCATATTGTTTTAGGGTTTTATAATAGTTATGTTGTAGGAAAAGTGATTGTGTAATGTTATAGAGATTCGTTTTGGGTGTCTTAATTTTTTATTTATTTTTTTGTTTTAAAAAGTGTGGGCCCTACAAAATATTGTGAGTGTAGAAAAGTTTGTTATGTTATGTTAAAGGATAAAACGAAAACCCATTGTTTTACTCGACAGGCAGAAAAATTCTTTATTCGATAAGAATGTTGAGTTGCATGCCCACATGGCATCACGTGGGCTTTGTAGGGTTCATGGTCCTCCCCAACAACGAGGAAATCTTTGAGCATCCTATTGTCAAATCTGTCATTAATTCATGGTGATAATGTTGGATTTATCCACGTATACAACTTTCTCTTCATAAATATAAATGCCCGATCACAATCAAATAAAGCTAGACTTGACTGATGCTAAGGTGGTCCTAGACTCCTAGGCAGCTAGAGTACTTGACAAATTTGATAAATTTATAGTAAAGAAAAACCAGTTTGCACAAAAATAAAGTTATTATATGTACCCAAAAAAATAAAGCTATTGTAAATATGCATAAAGACACTCAAATACAACAGGCACAGAGAATTTCTTTAATATGTACTTGCACCACAATTCTATTTGATGGTTCTTTATCAAAAAATAATATATTTTCTTTTATTTATATTCTTCTTCTTTTTTTAAATTCTCTCCCAATTTTTTTTTTTCCTCTTATTTTTTAAAAAGAAACACAAGCTTCCGGATCACTAAAAACGAGCTCCAGACACAAGGCACACCCATGCTCGTGCAGATACGTGCAAAATCCTCGATCTTGGGAAGAAAATACTAGTGAAGATGACATTGGTCCCCCCGCATCAATTTAATCCAATTATAGTGGGGAGACATAGTTAAGAAAATGAGCACACAAAATAAAGAAAGAAATAGTCATTTAGAAGCAACGTAAAATTTCAATAATTTTTCAAAAAAAATGTATTTTATTTTCGACGTTGAAATTTTATTTCTAGTTAAATTCCATTGTAAGAAGGAATTTTTCATCAAAAATTTTGACAAAATTATTTGACTTTCAATGGAATATTGGATGGTCATAAAATTTCCATTAGAAAGTTTATTTTCAACAAAATTATTTACAGCGAAAAAATCCCGTCGATAAAATAACCTTTTCTAATAATGGATCTAATACTTCAAGTTCTGAAATGAATTTGTGTGCCACATAATTATGTTATATTTTATTAAAAAATATGAAGACGGTTTGGGTTAGCTAGTCTTTTAGGCCAGAGCCTCGCAATTATCTTTTTTTTTAGCAGCATATATATCATCACAATGATCGTAAAAATTGTAAATTGGCGTTTTTTTTTTCCGGTTTCTTTTTGGGGTACAGAAGAGCTCATTATTGCTTCTCTTTCATAATTCTATTTTGCACATACTTGTCATTACATATTTCACATGAGTGTAACCTACACTTAATAGGCTAACAAGATAATCGATCTATTACAGTTCTGTCCGTTAAGAATAATTCCTCACTTAAAACACATTTACAAGCCATAAAATTAAACGCAAGTTAAAACTAATTTACCTCGGCTGTTATTAATTAACTGCATCAATTGCTATAAAACCAGTTAAACCATATTGATCTTAAATACAATTATTGAATTAAACGCATGGTCATTTAGGAGCACAACGGACAATATTTGTGTCTCGTGCAAGGAATTATCATGTATGACAATAATACCCTTTTTTTTTTTGAGTTAACCCAACCATGGAAGCGAGTTAGCGACCTTTTGATATTTTCATAAGTTTCGATTCTTTAATCTGGGTATGAAACTAATCTGGAATACAGGGCGAGTTTGTTGGTAGTAATAAAGTTGAGTAACTGAAAAAGAAAGTTTCGATCCCCACATGTCATTTTTGGAAGGTTTAAATATTTTTATCCTTATATCCGCCTTGTATTCCGAATTAGTCGGCTCAAAAAATCAAAACTTAGTGAAAAAAGAGAGCCAACTCGTCTCAAGAGATAATTAGAATTGAGTTATCGGAAAAAAAAAAATACTTTAACATATCACCATTTACTTAAATTCGAGTAAAGAATTACACAAAAGTAAACAAACAATAAAATGAACAACACAAAAACGAGTTCATTCAAAAATCAAAATGAACGAATCCCATAAACACAAATCAACGGTGTAATAATATCATTGACGAAGTTATCAATTTCCCCGTAAGAACAAAATCTTCATTATTATTATAAATCCTGTCAATATATATCGTTTCAATTCCTCAAACGATATCTATTCTCATCCTCTTCCACTTTGTTTTTTTTTGTTCTAGAATTAATAAACATTTTAAAAAGAGACAAAAAATGAAGCCAAAGCCATAACTACACCAACGAAGCCCATGACCTGGGTGCGAGAAGAGCTGCTAGGAGCTGGTGCCTCTGCAGGTGACTCAGCAATAAGACTCTCTTCGTTTTCAACAACTGGTGATGATGATGATGATGATGATTCAACACCAGGTGCAACAATGGGTTCTGTGACCTGAAGAACCGCAACGGTTTCAGGTTGGTTGGTGACAGTGTTCACAAGCAAGGTTTTATAAGGAGAACCCTCAACAGCGGAAGCAAATGCAACTTCACCCTCGTTAATGAGGTTAACATAGATGTAACCCTGATCGTTCTTGGCTGCACCAGAGGCTCCAAATAGGGTTTGCAATTTGGTGTGGCTACCTTGAGCTTCAACGAGTTTTTTCTCATCGTAGTAATCAGGGAGAACGTGTGTTCCGATGATTGCTTTGATGGTTTCTTGGGATTTACCAGAGAGGGAAGAGAGTGCTTTGTTATCAAGGGCAAGGATTGTGACTTTTTTACCACTGTTGATTTGTTCTGCCAGCTTGGTTTCGGTTAGGTATTTGTTGAACTGTGAAAATTCTGGGTATTGGCTTAGCAGTTTTGTGATGTCCAAGCCATGAATGGCTGAAGAGAATGTTAGCATAAGTGCCAAGCACAATACCCAAGAGTTCCTCAAACCCATCTTTTATTTTTTATTTATTTTTTTCTCTTTAATTTTTTGATTAATCCGAAACCAAGCTGGTGTAGGGAATGGTGAGGTTGATATGTGTGTGTGTATATATATATAGATAGTGTGTGTGTATGTGGTATGTGGAATTTTTGGGTCAACTTTATTTAGAGTCAAATTGTGTTCGTAACCGAATTTATTGGGATCTAGTGGCGTACGAATGATCACCAATGTTAGCCTTTACTATTTGATGGAGATTTTGGATGGCTAAGCATGGTTTGTGTAATGAAGCATTCGGAGAATAAGTAAAATATACTAGAAGAATCCGTTTACAATTATTTTTATAAATGACACTAAATTTGACCGGTTATATATTTTTTATTGAAGTATGATCGGTCAGATATAGTATAGTTTGTAAATAAAAAGTTTGTAAATATAACATTTTTCAATGTATATATATAGGTAAGATTATTTTTGCAGCCGTTTTACGTACAACAATGATATGTGTATAGTTATGATTTCCCATATTTAATGCTTTTATCTTTTGTATGGTTATGATTCCCTGTATTTAATGCTTTCAAATATATAAATTGCAAGTATTTGATTGTTGCACGTACATCAGCTGCAGAAATGTAAACCCCATATATATATATATATATATATATATATATATATATATTGTGGTGATTATGATTGATGGTGATTTGTGATGCCATGGTCTACTTTCTTTAAAATTAGGAGTAGAGGGTTTTGTGATGATATATGGTCAACTTTCTATAATCTGGCCGAGTTTAATTTAGAGCAATTAACAACTTGTAGGAGTAAAGTTTTTTTTTTTTTTTGATAAAAAAATTAAAGAGAAGGTTATCCCCATAAGCTTTTTATAGAGAGCTTATTAATTGACAAGAACAGATTCCGATCTAAACTTAGGTGCAAAAGCTTATAAATATCGGAATTTTGTTGGCTCAAGAAAACTGCCTACTATATCTGTAACTGGTTTATTTAAATCATTAGGGAGACAAAAACAAAAATAGTATAATCTTTTTGCTCGCTGTATCTTTACATTTGGATATGTAAATAACTCGTCATATATAATATTGTGTAAGGAGAATGATGAATTTGTATGTTGTAAGAGTAATAAGTTTGAACTATACTAAACCTGACTCAGAATTAGTGAGAAAAAAAGAGTAATAAGTTTTATATCAATTTTTTTATCATTAATCTACTTCTATCTAATTATTTTAATCTATTAATCACATGAGATCAATCGCTAAGATTATGTAAAATTATCAGTCCTCATATTATACAAGCATAGTTAAATTGCTATTTACATATGAAGATTAGATTCATTTACGTGAAAAAAATAAAATAAAATTCACACAGTATCCACCAAATAGTTCGAACATCAAGTAGACTCCCAAAAATTTGGATTGGAATTGTCTTGATTGTTTAGCATTTCTTTTTTGTGAGCCATTGATGGTAAATAGGGGTGTCATCCTTCGAATTGAACCGAATTTTTAGAAAAAACGAATTGAATTGGTTTAAATGATCCAGTTCAAAAATGGTTCAGTTCGGTTCAAAATCGGTTAGATTCGAAAATAGTTCAGTTCTATTAAAAATGGTTCATTTAAGTTCGGGTCGACTCTATTCTGAAAAGAAAAAAATTAATAAATTAAAGAAATAAAATAATAAAAATCAATTCGATTCTGTTCGAAAAAGGTTCAATTCGTAAACGGCTCAATTCGATTCAAAATCGGTTCGATTGGAAAATGGTTTAGTTTGGTTCGAAACCGATTCAGGTTGACCCTATTCTGAAAAGAAAAAAATTAAATTTAAAGAAATAAAGTAATAAAAATCAATTCGGTTCGATTTGATTCGAAAATAGTTTGGTTCTTGAACTGATTTTAAAAATAAATTTGATTCATGAACTGATTCTTTAAAAACCGGTTTGGTTCATGAATTAATTTTTAAAAATCGATTGTTTTAAATACAATTCAGTTTGGTTCACAATTCAGTTCAATTTTTTGATTATTTTGCACAATAACACAAATGCCTCAATAAAATTGGGACGCTCAAGACTTAAAAGCCGGTCCAATGACATAACTCAGCCTGAAAAATAACTAGGTTGAGTTCGGATTCTACAAATTAAGCATGTGAATTTCAAGTCAAATTTGGGCCCTCCATTGTTTTAGTGCAGCCCAATATTATCATAAGTTAAGATTTATGATTTTTAAATTAAAGATAATAATAATTTTTTTATGCATCATGATCTCTACCATAATATCCGAATCATTATCTTAAAATTATGGTAATTATGATAAAGAACTGCACAGATGGCCATTATAATGCCATGTGGCAATTGCAGACAAGAATTTTAAAATCAAGTTTTTACTTAAACACAGAAATGGGATAAAAAATCATAAAATATAAAATCATAATAATTTTTTTTATAAAAAATCACAAGAAAATAAAAATGCTTGGAATGTTGATAAAAACTTTTTGATGAAAAAAAAATCGTAAAAATATAAAAGTACACTTTTAAAACAAGTTTTTAACTACCATGGTTGCACATGTACCACATGCACAATTAATTCACACTAATTATATACATAATTGATTGCATTAATAGAATAAAATACTTTAAAATAATATAATTACATAATTTATTTTTTTAATCGCAATTATATGATTTTTTTGCCTCAACTAAGAATTTTATACAAACAAACCAAATCTTAATATATAAAATCTTCATCCAAACTTTAGAAACTTTGCTGACGTGTCAATCTGTTCTTGCTTCTCAGGTTTGTGTTCACACTTGACAGATTTTGAAATGTTTCTTCTTTTGGCAACTTTCAAAATTCGAATTTTTAAATTCATGGATGGGAAAATAATTCAATTTTATGTGGTGGAAGACAGCTGTATTAATGATCCACTATTTTTTGCATGGATAAGTGAAAAAGTAATAATATCCCATTACTTTTTGCATTGGTAGGTGGAAAAGTATTCAAATTCAAAATTTAAACTTAAAGGTGATAAAAGAGTTCATCGTTAATATCTGAATAGGTAATTATTAAAAAACAAAATTATTTTGTGTATAAATAGGATATGTGTTACTGGGTCTTTTCATTTGGTAATTAGCTTTTGTGCATATGTTTCTTCTCTTCTCTGCCTATTTATCTTCTTCTTCTTAAGTTGTTCTTCTATTTGATGAACATATAATATTTTTTATTTTTTTTGTAGCACTATTGTAGAGTAAAGCTGACAGGATGATTTGGAATCACTAGAATATGAATTTATTTACTTCCTCATAGGAAGGTATGACATTCTTCTCTATCTTTTTTTTTTGATACAATTCTCTATCTTTTTTTCTTCTACAAGTATTTTTTCCATAACACAATATCATGAACGAGACGATATAATAAAATGTCCTTACTTTTAAATGATTAAATATTTATGTTTAGCCTTCATTGTCTGTGTTTTGTGGGCACCATCTCATAATTCAACACGGTAAAAATTTCTCTTTTATCTTAAAGTCCTTATTTTTTCTATTTGTAATACCTACAAGAGCAAGATGAGTTTTTTATTTTATTTTTTATGTCCATACATAATTTGTTTCTCATTGTTGTTGTTGCTCTTTAATTTATTTTTGTTCTTGACAGATATGTTTACCGTGGTGGTGAAAATGATGAGTTTGATATGAATGATACTACTTTGACCTCATAAACCATCATCTATTTCTTTAAAGGATATTCGAAGTGTGTCCGATGCTAGACCAGTGCAACCCAGCAACATAGTTTCAAATGGTGATTTAGAAGAAGACAAGATAGAATAAGCTAGAATGTTGCTTTAATTCTATACTTTTGTTGCTAGAATTTTGTTCTCACATGTTTGTCTTGAATAAGCTACATATCTTTTAATATTCCTTAAACCAATAATTATTATAGTTGTTACATATATTACTCTATTAATTATTGAAATCCTCCAAATTTAACTCAACAAAAATGAGGAGCCATTCAAATATTATGTGAAAAAAATCCTAACTATAAAAAAGATAAGTGGTGTTTGCTACAACTATGTACTTGGAGGAAGATGATGTTGAACATTCACAATGGAGACAATTTATTAAACATAGCGTAAGAGTAATATTTAAGTTTAAGAAACATAAATATATTAAAATGAATGACCATTCAATGACTAAATTGACCATTGAGCTGATACACCATAATGTTTAAGTCAGTTCATTATAGAAACAACAGTGGAATTTTAAAAGTTGTTAAAAAAAACAAAACCACTAATTATTATACCTATTAGGATTAATTAATTTTTTGGGTCTAAAAATAATAATATTTATATTTACCAAAAAGAATAATTATTATTATGTCTATTGGACTTAATTATTATACCTATTAGTAAACTTTTCAAATTCAAAATTAAAGTAACTAGATAGGTGTGAAAAAAAATTCAACATTATTCGGTTAGACAAACAGCTATTTTCTTCCATTATTTTTTATATCAAAAATTGTTAAATCTATTAAAAATATAGTTGGCAAACAACTGTATTATTCTACTATTTTTTGCATGGAAAATTATTAAACTTATTAATAATATTTATTATTATGTGTATTATAATTCATTATTATACCTATTATGATTAATTAATTTTTTTTACAAAAATAATATAAAGTAATAAATTTGTTTTTAATGTTTTTGTTCTTGAGAAGATTTAGAAGTTATTATCAGATATTGACTTCATTATTACATTGGAAGTTCCAAGAAGGATAATCAAATACGAGTGGGTGTGTTGGGAAAACGCGCGCATATGGCTACAACAACCAAAATAGACATTTAATATTAATTTTGGAAGACACTTTTGACACGCCACTTGGTGCACGTTAAAGTGGTATATGATTATAAATAATACTTATTGCACAATAATAAAACTTATATATATAATACTTATTGCACAATAATAAATTTTATATCTTCTTTATTGGCAGTTAGGCTTGAATTAAAATGTAGATATATACAAGGGTAGATTGAATTAATTTTAAAAATAACGTAAAACGGTTACGTTTTCCTAGAATATCCAAAATTTAAAAATAAAAAAATTAAATAAAAATAATGCAAAACTATTACTATTACTTATTGCACAATATTTATTATGTACAGACTTCTATGCATGTTTCCCTTTATTTTTTGCATAGAAAAATGTTAAGTTTATTAATTTATTATTATGTCTATACGGAGGAAAAATATTTAATACCTAAGATTTAAACTTTTTAAATTTTAAATTTTGAACTTGAAAGGTGAGAAAAGATTTAGCATTTAATATTGCCCACTACTTTCTGCACGGAAAATTATTAAGCATATTAATAATAGTTATTATTATATCTATTGGGCTTAATTATTATACCTATTAGAATTAATTATAAAATTGAAAAAAAGATATGTATAAAATAAAATTAATTTTAATAAAAAATATTAATTAAACGAAAAATATATTTAAAATTATAAAAATAAACTTTAAAATAAAGTAAATTAAAATCTTAACTTAAAATAATTATACGAAAAGAAAAAAGAATTCGTGCAAGAAACTTTTTAAAAAATACTTAAGATAAATATTTTAAATGTATACATATATATATATAATTATATATATAATTATGGGTTTTATAATTCTCATTCAACATGAGAATTCAAATTTTCCTACACACCCTTCGATTTTTGTGCTATCATGGGTCCTACATATAATTTTTTCTAACACACGGGTCCCACATGATTTTTATCTCTACAACACGAGAATTGAATTCTCATTCAACATGAGAAAATTAAACCCCTATATTTATATGTATATAATATAAGTTAAAAGAGAAAAAAATTATTTTTTAAAAGAATGTATAATTAATTATTTTATCATGTTGAATTTTAAATTTTAAAATTAAATATATTAGAAAGAAATCAAACATTTATTCTTTTGATGTAAGAGTATAATTAACACAATTTCCTATGTCGTGAATGATTACCTAGAAGCTATTACTTGAAGAATGTGCATAGACTTCTATGCATGTTTTCCTATATTTTTTGCATAGAAAATTGTTAAGCCTATTAATTTATTATTATATCTATTCGGAGGAAAAATATTTAATACTTAAAATTTAAATTTTCTAAATTTGAATTTTGAACTTGAGAGGTGGGAAAAGATTCAGCATTTAATATTGCCCAATACTTTCTGCATGGGAAAATATTAAGCATACTAATGATAGTTATTATTATTTCTATTGGGCTTAATTATTATACCTATGAGAATTAATTATAAAACTGGAAAAAAGATATGTATAAAATAAATTTAATTTTAATAAAAAATATTAATTAAACGAAAAAAATATTTAAAATTATAAAAATAAACTTTACAATAAAGTAAATTAAAATCTTAACTTTAAATAATGATACAAAAAGCAAAAAGAATTCGTACAAGAAACTTTTTAAAAAATAATTAAGATAAATATTTTAAATGTATATATATATATATATATATGTATATAATATAAATTAAAAGAGAAAAAAATTATTTTTTAAAAGTATGTATAATTAATTCTATTATCATGTTGAATTTTAAATTTTAAAATAAAATATATTAAAAAGAAATCAAACTTTCATTCTTTTGATGTAAGAGTATAATTAACACAATTTTTTATATCGTGAATGATTACCTAGAAGCTATTACTTGGAGAATCTGCACAGACTTCTAAGCACGTTTCCCTTTATTTTTTGCATAAAAAATTGTTAAGCTTATTAATTTATTATTATGTCTATTCGGTGGGAAAATATTTAATACTTAAAATTTAAACTTTTTAAATTTGAATTTTGAACTTGATAGGTGGGAAAAAATTCAGTATTTAATATTGCCCACTACTTTCTGCATGGGAAATTATTAAGCATATTAATGATAGTTATTATTATGTCTATTGAGCTTAATTTTTATACCTATTAGAATTAAGGGAAAAATATTTCTGCAGTTAATGCAGATAAGTTATCTGCATTTATTCCCAAAACGACGTCGTTTTGGTATTGAAATCTTAAAAAATTATAAATATTAAGACTATTATAACCCTGAATTAAATTAAATTTACAAAAATACCATGATTTCCATTCCAAAACGACGTCGTATTGGTTTACTGCAGATAACTTATCGGCAGTAACTTCAGAAAAAGCGAACCCTATAATTAATTATAAAACTGGAAAAAGATATATTAATGACAGTTAGAGTTGGCAAATTGGGCTCGGCCCCCAGTGCAGCAATAATTTTTTTTTATTTTTAAGTTTATTGTCTAATTATATAAAACATAGATAGATAGTAATCTAGAGGTAACTATAAGAAACTTTTTCTTGTGGTTAAATATAAAAACCTATTACATGTCGGTATAAAATGCTGACATATATATGTGGCAAAATGGGTTCGGCCCGACAGGCCGGCCCTCCCCGCCCGCCAAACAGGCGAGTTAGCCCGGCCAACATATTTTTTTTGTTATGTATACTGTCTAACTATAGAAAACATATATAGATGGTAATCTAGATGCAACTGTAAGAATCTTTTTTGTGGAGATATAAAAATCTATTAAATGCTTATATGAAATGCTGATAGTTAAGGTGGTAAAATGGGTTCGGCCCGGAGGGCCGGCCCATCCCGCCTGCTAACACTTTTTTCCCCTTATGTTTGCTGTATAAATATAGAAAATATAGATAGATAGTAATCTAGATGCAACTATAAGAATTTTTTGTTGTTGACGGATATAAAAACGTATTACATGCTTATATAAAATACTGACAGTTAGAGGTGACAAAATAGGCTCGGCCCGGAGGGCCGACCCGCCCATGCTCACCAACACTTTTTTATATCTATTATTATGTTTATTGTCCAACTACAGAAAACATAGATAGATAATAATCTAGACGCAACTATAAGAATCATTTTTGTGGATAAATATAAAATTATATTACATGCTGATATAAAATGCTGACAGTTAGAGTTGGCAAATTGGGCTCGGCCCACCCAGCGCACCAACAGTTTTTTTTTTATTCTTATGTTTATTGTCTAATTATATAAAACATAGATAGATAGTAATCTAGAGGTAACTATAAGAAACTTTTTCTTGTGGATAAATATAAAAACATATTGCATGCCGGTATAAAATGCTGACATATATATGTGACAAAATGGGTTCGGCCCGGAGGGCCGGACCACCCCGCCCGCCAACATGTTTTTCCTTATGTTTACTGTCTAAATATAGAAAATATAGATAGATAAGAATCTAGATGCAACTATAAGAATTTTTTTTTTTTTTTTGTAATAACTATAAGAATTTTTTGTTGTTGATAGATATAAAAACCTATTACATGCTTATATAAAATGCTGATAGATATAATTTATTTTATTCTGAATTTATCAGAATTGCAAGCGTAGGTTGGACTATCTTTAATTTACCTTGATGTCAAGCACAATATGTCAATTTTTTTGTTCTTCGTATGTTGCACGATTTGAATCTATTATAGACATCATTTGACATTACACTGAAATCAGTTTATCAGAATTGCTCTTTTCTTTGTGCAACACATGCAATAAACTATTATTTCCATATTCTATGTCATTGATGTAACATTCTAAAGTCTTTTCCAGACTACTATCAAAATTAACTTACGACTCTCTTACATATTTTATCTACCCGGTAAATTATTTTTTGAATTATTGTGCGCTATAAAATTCCAACTAACAATTTAATCTAAATTTTACGCTAACATTTACGAAACAAACCGATTTTTTTCTCCGTGCATCGCACGATAATCAACTAGTTCTTATTTAGTTCCTAAAACAGTGACTCTGGTTATCTCATATCACTGACACTAAGTAAGGATTTTATGCAAACCAAATTTTATACATGAATTTTAAAATACACGTAATATTACCCCTCCCGGGAAAAAAAAATAACAATGAATCTACATCGATGAAATATAGCATCATGCCACCTCAACTGATGGTCCAATAGATAACGCACAAAAATAGCAACAAAACTTTCAATAAAGACAAATAGATTAATATTGACGAGTAAAATTGAAAAACACTGAAGAAAGCACTAAAAACGGCTAACAATATATTTTGGAATTTGATCAATAAAACGAGTCTAGTTCAGTCAGATAAGCCAAATATATTGGTACATCCCAGTCAGTTAACTAATCCAAAATGACTGTCTCAAATCTCATGCAGGGTAACTAAAATCCAGAAGAAAGACAAATAACAAAGAAATTATCAGCAAATCTCGATTTGATTTCTACTAGCACAACAATTCACCTAGCTTCATCCAAAGTCATGCCTGATAAACTAGCGCTAGATATCTTGTCAACGATATCTGAGATGGTCTTGTCCATGTCTAGATCCATCATTGGTTTAAACGGACGCTCCATTTTCTGAAATAAAAACAAAAAGGGATTAAGGCATTAAAATATACTGAGCTGAGTACATGATGATTGCACCCACCAAGTGAGGAAAAAAAATAGATTAGAAACATTATATATCAGAAACATAGCAACCAACCAGCCTCTAGTAAAAACAATATAGAAGACCACTGTTGAGATATATAGTCCCACATTAGTTGTATGTGCAACTAATGTGGAGTTTATAAGGCCTTGGGCACTCTCACCCTTTGAGCTAGCTTTTGGGGTGGTGTATCCCAAGGTTCTTTACATGGTATCAGAGCCTCGCCGCTCCCCACTTTCTCTTGTGGAATTTCTTAGCACAGGTAGGCTGAGCCTGTTGCATCATCCACTCTTCAAGTCCAATGGGCTCTCGTATGGGCTCTCGTGTGAGGGGGCGTGTTGAGATATATAGTCCAACATTGGTTGTATGTGCAACTAATGTAGCCTTTATAAGGCCTTGGGCACTCCCACCCTCCCACCCTTTGAGCTAGCTTTTGGGGTGGTGGTGTATCCCAAGGTTCTTTACACAGATGTTATGCCTAGTATACGCGACTCCTGTTATTGTGAAATCTAGGGTAGATATACGTAGCATTAGTCCTACAAGCAGAGAAGTTTGAATAAAAATAAACTCCTATTATAAATGGAGCTTGAAATTGGGTTAATCCATATGTATGATCTAAAACACCTTTTGATCACATGCATCGCCCAGTTGCTAACCACCGAATTTCACTATCAGTCCTACAAACTGACACTCCGGTAGTATGCCTGAATGGGCACGTGCCTCATCTCTACAGCAAGGCTTCTCCAACAAGCCACTTCTAGCCACCTATGTCAAGTCTTCTCGAATAGATTCATATGTATGGATCTCACAGCTTCCCTTTCCTCTGAATACAGGGGTCATTCCACTTGTTAACGCAGGAAGACCACCATTCATGCATTAATAGGCCTAAGTGATAAACTAACAACAAGGCGTTATGTCCTATGCTTAGCCCATTCATTTCCGGAACTTCATCTCTCGCACTTGAGTTCCTAACAATCTCCACCTCAAGTGTGAGTCCTACAATAAGTGAATCCAACACTACATCTCAACTCAAAATTTTAAGACATTAAGTTTATGGATCCTTTCATTTATATGTTTCATGCTTAGCCCATTCATTCCCAATACGGGATTCTATCCCTCACTCGAATTCCCAAGAGTACCTTCCTCCCATGTTCCATACACCAATGCAGTTATTTTTCAACTCCGGATGATCTTTTCCCTTCTTTTAAAGAGAGCGATATCCTAAAAACTGATGTGGGAAGTCAATAGTTAAAATAAATCCATAATATGAAATCTAACTTTGCAAAAATAGAGAACTGTTTGATTATTAATAGTTTAAATGTTTAACATAACGAAACTTCCGATTATTCAAGTTTCATAATTCTAGTGTAGGATTTACCAAGAGACTGACGAACTTCTGGCCTCCTTCTTCCCGTATTTCAAAGCAACCCTTTCTTGGCTGTTCACATAAGAAACAAAAAAAAAAAAAGGATGCCAAAGCTGGATTAATCACTCTGTTGACATCACTACTATAAGTTCTCTTGAATCAAAATTTTGGATAAATAATCTTCTAACATTTGATTTCTGATGCGAATGCCCCGTTTGTTAAAAAAAGAAGTTACATTTGATTTCTCATGGGTATATAAAAAATATATCTCATGATGACCAAAGGCCCAAAAGAACAGAGCTACCTTTTTAGGGTTCACTATGACAGTGATGTCAGGAACTTTGGCCTCTAGACCTTCTTTCAACTCAGTGGCTCTCGTCTTGAATGAATCGCATTGTGTACTAAGGCAAAGAAAACAAGCAATTGCAACTATATAAGATATATACAGAGATAGAGAGAGAGAGAGAGAGAGAGAGAGAGAGAGGAGTTTCAGCTACGCTTCAGAAAATATAAGCAACTAGGCATAGGAAATGGAACAAGTACAAGCAACAAAAAGTGAAAAGAGTTCAATTCAGTGATATCAAAATAAAAAACGAAATAGGGAATTTTAGAAAACGCAACGTAATCAAGAGCAGCAAATAAAGTGCCTCATTTTTCATTTCTTTGATTCTAGAAACTAACGAGAAAGTTTCATGGAAAAGAACGGAGTAACATAAATTTAAAACCCAACATTCATTTTTGTCAAAGAATGAATCTTTTAAGCAAAAGAAAAATACACATTTACATTTTCTTCTCATTTCTTCATTTAATTTGAAGAAAAAAAAAATAATATAATGAGATAAAGAAAAATACCAATGTTCAATGACGATGGTGGTTCTGGAGTTGGAGGAAGCAGGTTCTTGCCCTTCTTCTTGCTTAGGCTTCTTGCCCTTCTTCTTATTATTCTTCGGCAACTCAGCAAAAACCGGAGGTGGACCGGGTCGTTTAGCCGCGGACCGGGTCAGCCTGACGGAAGAGAGAGCAGTGGACCGGGTTACCCTGGCGGGGGCTTGGGTTTCAGGTGGGTTTGGCTCCGAAGCCTTGCGTTTCCTTGGAGGCATTGCCGTTGCCGTTTACGTTTACTCAGAGTGAGAAGAGAATAGAAAGCTTGTTTCGTAAGACAATAACCAATAATCACTGTGCTGAGTTTCTTTGGTTGTTGTGTTGATGTAATGGGATGTGAATTGTGAAGGGACGGTTCAGTTTTCCGATTACTTAACTTTTTTGAATTTCATCCTATTTGACCGTACATCGAAATGGTTGCAGACAATAACTTTTAAGCAAGAAAATGCGCTCTCTCTCTCTTTCTTTTTGATACAAAAACGCTCTCTTTTCTTTCAGACCAAACCCACAGATATATTTGCACGTCATTCTAAATACATTATTTTTTAAATGAGTATATATACATTGAAATACCAAACTCCTTTTTTGTTTTTTTTGGTGAAATAAATACCAAACTCCTTTTATTAATGTAGGTAATACCCATTATGGTTATAATTGCTTTCGAAAGATTTCGTAATTCTAGAAAGGGAAAAATATATCATTTATGAACATAACTATTAACTTACTTTCAGTTTTGTTCCAAAATTTGACATACTTGTTAAAGAATAACCATATTTACTTTTAGGTGGTATCTTGAGGGATTTGTGTCTAAAATTTTAGGAAAAATCAAATTTAAGGTAAGTTTACGAAGGGGTGAAATCTTATCTATATCTATATCAAAAGCAAAATTATTTTTCGGCTGGATAACCTCAGATTCATTCCCATATTTTTTCGCTTTTACCCTTGTACTTTTTTCTATCATTCATTTTAATCTCAATGCCTAAAATCCTCTATCGATCGGTTAACCGGTGACCCGGCACGGTCCAAAAAAAAAATTTAAATTTTTGTTTTAAAAAAAAATCATAATAGCCATATTTGAATATTTTTTTGTTTATTGACTTATATAAGTTATGTACCTATAATACTAATATTATCTCAATTATGTACTATGCATAAAATTTTGAATAAATTTATAGTTAGAGATGTCGTTTTATGAACCTAAAGTCTCGTATCACGATCATTATTTTTTTTTTGATTTTTTTTATAATAATATGTGATTTATTATTTTTTGTAAACTATTTGAAATTTTTATCATTTTTTTAGATATTTGAGTATGTTTATAATTTTTTAATATAAATTATAAAATTATATATAATTACTGGGTCATGCAGTTGAACCAGTGACCTGATACCTCGACCGGGTCAATGACCGGGCCGATTTTAATAACATTTATATCTCACTACTTTTTCAAAATTTAATGTTTTTAATTTTTTTATAATAAAAATTCAAATTTTAAATATTATATAGGTGGAAAAAAAGTTCAACATTGTTTAGTGGCAGACAACTATATTAATATCACACAACTTTTTGAATGGTAATTGTTAAGCCTATTAATAATACCATTAATTTCTGTATCGAAAATTGTTAAGCCTATTAATAATATTTATCATTATGACTATTAGAATTAATTGATTTTTTGGGTCTACAAATGAACCAAAGGTTATTTTAATATAAAAATAAGTTAAAAAACCTCTTCTTTTTTTTTTCTTTTTTTTGATAAAAACCTCTTTAGTTTATGTATAAATACGATGGGGAAATGGTTTGTCATGTTACATGACAACAAATCAATTTTCCTTCACACACAATTTAAGCTGGGTCCCACCTTTGATTTTTTTCTCACTCCACTATTTAATGGACCCTACATATATCATAAGTGTGTAGGAAAATGGTTTGTTGTTATATAACATGATAAAAACAAAACCCAAATATGATATGTGTTACTGCATATTTTCCATTGATAACCCGCTTATGTGCACATATTTCTTATATTTTTATTTGTTTATCTTCTTCATATTCTCAAGTCGTTCTTCTACATAATCTTATCCATTATTTGTGAGTTTATAGTTTTCTATTTCATATTTGTTGATTTTCCATGTTCATTGTTCTATATTTTATGTTAGTGTTTTACATGTACGATATGATAAGCTGAAATGTAAAGCAGATAGCAAATTATAAAAATACTCCGTGATATTTTTATTTAGTGCAGTTTTTTTATATAGTCTAATCTTTGTTGCGTAGTTTACTCACATTGATTTCACCAAAAGTCTTTCTTTTCCTCCTTCCTTAACACTCACAAGTTTTGCTTTTAATGCGGTGAGATCCATCAATGTGAGCAACATTTTAACTGGCAAGTGTCTTGCAAAAATAAGAGCGAGTAATAGTCTTGTGAATGAATGCAATTGCGGTGACAATTGTTCAAGCAGCAGTTGTAATGCAAAGAAGGTAAAATGTGCTAGAATTACTAGCACAATTGTAGAAGCCTTGGAAGACATTACTATTCTCTTCTATGCTTGAGCAGGTAATGCAACACTCTTTCTGTTTAGTTTCTGCAGTGATGTATTTTCACTCTTTACTATATGCTAGATTACTCCTCAAACTTCTATTACGTTTGAGGACCATAAATAGTTATTTTCTAACTTACATTTTCGCAAGATTAATTTTGTTATGTATAAATCAATTTGATGTTTGATATACAAGTTTTATGATAAGAATAACATATTACTTCGATCTTCAATTTGAGAGTGAATTTTTTATATTGCAGACACTAACTCAAACATGGGCTACATCTAGAGAACATCTGACAATAATCCTTTTAAAATGATGTTTTGCATGCAAAGAATTTTAGTATTGTTATGTTTGAGCGACTTTTTTTTTTGTCTAGACAATTGTTTTATCCTCAGTGTGTACGAGCATCTTATCATCTTTATAGTGATTCAGGTTTTTTTTTGTCCCATTATGTATTTCTAGCTTTATTTGTCAAACACCAGAAATGATTTATTCATCTTGGGAACAGTGACCATTTTGTCACGCCTGGCCAAATTATTTACCAAACTGCCACGCCAACAGTAAAAAAATTCAGAATGCCATGTGGCATAATTCGCTCCACTGTGCAGCGAAATATGTTTGCAAATAATTCGCTAAAAAATTCAGAATGCCATGTGGCATAATTCGCTCCATTGTGCAGCGAAATATGTTTGCAAATAATTCGCTACACAGTGTAGCGAATTATGCCATGTCAGGTTACACAGTCAGCCGTAATGACACGTGTCAAGCAGGCAGTAATACAAGCATAATTCGCTACAGAGTGTAGCGAATTACTGTCTGCTTGACACGTGTTATTTTTGTTGACTGTGCAGCCTGACATGGCATAATTCGCTACATTGTGGAGCAAATTATTTGCAAACATATTTTGCTGCACAATGGATTGAATTATATTGCGTGACATTCTGGGAATTTTTACTGTTGGCGTGACAGTCTGGTAAATAATTTGCTGAAGTGTGGCAAAATAGTCACTGTTCCATTCATCTTGATTTCTAAACAATTACTTGGTGCCCAAAAATATTAGACTATCTAATGTCACTCCGATATTTGACTTCCCGGTTGAAAAACACATCTCTTTTTTGTTATTTTACCACTTATTAATTCTTCAATTATTGTTTCCAACCCAGTGATTACATGTTTCAAACTAGTGAGTAGTTGGGCTTTTTAACCATTATAGCCTTTATTTAATAATTAATTACTAAATTGACCTTGATTATAAACTATTTCAAAAATTTAACCTCTCCAGAAAATATAACACCAATTTATCCCTGTTTGACCGTTGACCATCAAACCTTCCCGGGTATCCCCCTCCCTACCCGGATATTTTTTGAAAATTTTAAAATACCCGGGTAGGGAGGGGGATACCCGGGTATATTTCAAAAAACTGTGAAATGCTTGAATTATTTACCCAGGCAGGGAGGCGGCTACCCGGGTGAATATGCATGGTTCTTGAAGAAATTAAGAACAAAGTCAAGTCAATTAATAACAATTAATAGCTCATGGAAGGGACTATGAGTCCCAACAAGTAATTAACAACAATTAATGGTGATTATCAACAACCAAAAAACAATTAATGGCCCAATTTTTAATTTCAACATTAATTGACTTGGGTCTATAATTTTGTTTAGTTTCCAATGCATTATTGATACTGATGGATCATAAATATTTCCCACTAATTTTGAAATGTTTAATGTGCTCTTCCTTGACTCGACGTGTATACCCAAACGGCACGTTGAAAATTGAAATTCGTAGAGATCCTTTTAAATAGACCCTTCCCTGGGAACTGAAAGGAGGCATTGGGGTTCTGGCTGCAGTTGCTACAATGGCCGGAACAACTACTCCAACTCTGTCAGAAGTACAAGTTCAACAAATTGTTATTTTTTTTGGTAATCACCATTAATTGTTGTTAATTACTTGTTGGGACTCGTAATCCCTCCCATGAGCCATTAATTGTTATTAATTGACTAGACTTTGTTCTTAATTTCTTCAAGAACCATGCATATTTACTCGGGTAGCTGTCTTCCTATCCGGGTAAATAATTCAAACATTTTTCAGTATTTTTAAATATACCCGGGTATACCCCTCTCTACTCAGGTATTTTAAAATTTTCAAAAAATACTCTGGTAGGTTTGATGGTCAACGGTCAAACATGGACAGATTGGTGTTATGTTTTTTGGAGAGGTTAAATTTTTGAAATAGTTTATAATCAAGGTCAATTTGGTAATTAATTATTAAATAAAGTCTATAGTGGTCAAAAAGCCGAGTAGTTGGCTTTAAAAATGTATTTGTTTAATTAAAAAATATGTTTAAAAGCTTATAATAATTAAATAATTTTTAAAAAAATCTAAAACCTAAAAAAGTAGCTTTAATATTTTCTAAAATTTTTAAAAAATAACTTCTAATTTTTGAACCTCTAATTATTTGAAAAAAATGAGTAATATTTAATTTTAAGAAACATAAATAATTTAGATTGTTGTAAAAAGTAACAAATATTTGCAGCAAATAATTATTTATTATTATTAATTACTCAATTAAAATGAATGACCATTCAGTGATCAGTGACTGTTCAACTTCTGTCTCTCAATAAGATATTTGCCATTAAATATTTTAAAGACTCTTCTGCATCCTTGCATTTTAT